CATTGCTCTTCTTACGTCATTAGTGAAATTGTTTGAACATGAATTATGCATGTGGAGAGATTTTGGCTGAACGACTTACCAACCGAGGCGGTTATTTATAGGCAAATAACAATCGGCGATGGGTTTGTGTACTATCATTTCAGCGAGCGAACACGGAAGTTTATTGTTTAACAAGGTTTTTATGAAGACCTCTTATTGTTAGCCCAGCCAACATCCGAATTCAGTTTGGTTTTGCGGCGGACGATATTAGATTATGAGCAGAACCATCGAATCGAATAAACTAACAGAGCGTGAAGCTCTTACCAAATATTAGCAATAAGTAAAAGGGCAATCATTGCATTTTCGATGTGTTTCTCCATTTATAGCCCTTGTTTATTTAATTTAATATGAAAATTCCCAAGAGACTCAGCAATTTTCTGCGGGATACTATTTTACAAATATTAAAAATTCTTTTCAACTTCAAGTATCGGATTTTTACCCCGCAACTTCAAACAGATTTTTTTATTAGCAAATGAAAACGCTCGCAGATTAATTTCAAAGTTGGGCATAATTCGCAAAAAGGGCACATAAATACACCGAGAACACGCACACGACTCTAACTCGATTTGCGCGACTCTCGTAAGTGTACGAACAAAAATCCGATACTCGAGGAAAATCCATTTTCGGAGAAACAAATACCGGTTTTACTTCTGCATCAATTAGCCTCGCTCACACATCCCGTTCGCATTATCGGCGAATGTTGATTTTCGAGCCGGCTGAAAATTTGCTTTTATGGTTTAATTAAGATTTCGGATATCCGGTCAATTACACAGCTTTGATTGTGCGGATTTATCGAACTCGATAATAATTTTCAGTAGAACACCCTCGGCATTATTACGTCCGTTTGCAATAAAAGAGTTAAGTAAACTTTTTGATTAACGCATAAAAGCTTTAATTTTCAGAACAAACATTCGAGTTAAATCTCGCCGGATCGCCCCGAATTTCGTACTGCACTTAATCATAAATCGCATTTTGAACTGAACCCAATAAGCGGTGCGGAATTTTGTTAGCTAGATTCGATCTTTTTCAAAGGGATGATGAAATCTCGTTGTAGTTTTTTTCTATTTTTGTTTACAACTGTCACGCTGATGCTTGATAAAATTTTCGCATCGATAACATCAGAGAGTATCAGACTAGCGACGACTTTGACACCAATTTTAAAACACCCATACCCCTTAGTACAGAGTACAGAAGGATGAAAATTGCGCTCAAGGAAAGTGAAAATGAATGAGTGAACATTAGTAGACCAAATTATAAAAACGAGTGCGAACTCCAAGACGATTGCTATTTTGATCACGTTTCTTTACGAAAGTGATTAATAAAATCCTGTAAGGATTCCCACCATTAAAGTATTGCTTTAGAAACTATTTCAGAGATAAAGAATACTTTAAAAACTTGAGGACCTCTGCTGAATTATATTTGATGAGCACTCGATATTTTATTTTTGAAAGAATTCTACAAAAGAAAGAATTTGAAAGAATCTCAGGTTTTTACTGTGATTTGTTTTTTAAAGAGTTTGAGAGAATCTTGGGGTAACTTGTTGTTTTATTTTTACGTGAATTTTAAACAATATTGAGGCTCCTGCTTTTGAAAGAGTTTTAAAGAATCTCAGAGGCACCCAATGTTTTCTTTTTGAAAAAATCTTGTCTCTATTGTGATATTTTTTGGAATGAGTTTTAAAGACTCTTGAGGCTCCAGTTTTTGAAAAAAATTTAAAGAATCTCAGGAGATCCCTGTGGTTATTAAGAAAGTTTCATTTGAGTGAATTTTAAATAATCTTGAGGCTTATATTTTTGACAGAATTTGTTTTTGAAAGAATTTGAAAGAACCTGGGAGGCCTCTGGTGACAATGTTTTAAAGAATTTGAACGAATCGTGAAATCCTACTTTTGACATAATTTTTAAAAATTCGGGGTTTCCTGTGGTTTATTTTTGAAAGAATTGCTTCTATTTTTTAAAGAATTTTATATAACTGTGGGCCCCTCGGTGTTTTGTTCTTAAAAGAATTCGAAAGAATCTGCCAAACACCTGCTGAAAATTTTTGAAAGACTTTTAAAGGTTTCCTGTTGTATTTTTGCACGAATTTAAAAGAATCTTATGGCTCCTACTTTTTAAAAGAGTTTTAAAAAAATCTCAGGATCTCCCTGCGATTTGTTTTTGAAAGTTTGAAAAAATCTTAATGGAATGTGCTGTCTTATTTTTGAATGAATTTTAAAGACTCCTGCTTTTGAAACATTTTTTTTTAATTTATTTTTTAAATAATTTAAATGAATCTTGAGGCCCATAGTCTTGAAAAAATTTTGAAAAATTTTAGGGATTTCCTGTCGTTTTTTTTTCGAAGGGGCTTTCGATTTATTCTTTTTGACAGAACTTTAAAGAACTTGGTAGCCCCATGGTGATAATTTTTAAAAGAATTTAAAAGAATCTTGAGCCTCCTACATTTGAAAAAATTTTAAAGAAAACTTGGAAGCCCCGTGGTGATAATTTTTAAAAGAATTTAAAAGAATCTTGAGCCTCATACATTTGAAAAAATTTTAAAGATCCTCACGAGCTCTTGTTTGTGTTCGAAAGAGTTTGAAAGAAATTGAGGTCCCTGGTGTTTTATTTTTGAATGAATTTGAAAGAATTTTGAGGCTCCTACTTTTGACAGAATTAAAAAAAATAGAGGCTCCCTGTGGTTTATTTTTTTATTTTCGAAAGAGTTTGAAAGAATCTTGAGGGCTTGTGCTGACATTTTTTTAAGAATCTCAGAGACTCCCTGTGGTTTGTTCTTGAAAGAGTTTGAAGTAAACTTGGGGACCTTTGCTGTTTTATTTTTAAAAGAATTTTAAATAATATAAGGGGCTCCTTGTGGTTTGTTTTTTAAAGAATTTTAAAGATTTCAGCGTCAATTTGTGGTTAATTTTTGAAAGTTTGAAAAGCATCTTGGGGGCCATTGTTTTTGAAATGAAATTTAAACAAGACTCCTTTGAAAGAAGAATTTGAAAGAATCTGAGAGGCATTCCTTGAAAGAATTTTAGAGAATTTCAGAAGCTCCCTGTGTGTTGTTTTTGAAAAACTTTGAACGAATTTTGAGACTCCAATTTTGAAAGAATTTCAAAGAATGTCTAGGTCTCTATGTGGTTTGTTTTTGAAAGAGTTTGAGAAAATTTTAAGGATCTTTGCTGTTTTGTTTTTGATGAATTTTAAAGAATTTTGGGGCTCCTGCTTTCGAGAAAATTTTAGAGACTCTTAGGGACTCTCTGAGGTTTGTTTTTCAAAAAGTGTGAAAAAATCTTAGGAGCTTCTGTTATGTTAATTTTGGATACATTTTAAAGAATCTTGGGGCTCCTACTTTTGACAGAAAAAAAATAGGGGTCCCCTGTGATTTATTTTCGAAAAGAATAAAATTCTGTTACTCTTTAAACCCTGCTGACAACTTTTACACATTTTTTGAAAATTTCAGAAGCTCCCTGTGGTTGGTTTTTGAAATAATTTGAGATAACCTTGAAAATCCCTCCTGTTTTATTTTTGAAACAATTTTAAAGAATCTCAAGTGCTCCTTGCAGTTTATTCTTGAAACAGAAAGAATCTCAGGGGCTTCCTGTGTCTTATTTTTGAAAGAATTTGGAAGAATTTTGAGAGCCTCTGTCAATTTTTGAAAGGACCTTAGGGTCCTTGCTTTTCATTTTAGAAAAAAATTAAAGAATCGTGGGGACTCCTATTATGTTCAGATACCAGAATTCACATTACCGTCAAACTAAAAGGGATTTGAAAAATATTTGTAGATGTGTTAAGAATTGAATTTTTGAGTGAATACTCTAAACAATAATAATAAATGAACCACGAAAATAGTGTGAAAATGGAAAACATAAAAAAAATCATCTAAGGTTATAAGTTAAAAAATATAGACCAGTCACAGTATAAGAAAAAAATAAATAGCATTTACCATGCAAAATTTTGAAGTGGCGTCATCAAATTTTGGTTAGAACTGTCCGGAAGTTGGAAAATAGCGGTCTAATAAAAATCGACACAGACGACAGAGAGACAGCTAATACAGAAAATGATACAAAGTAAGAAGATAGAAAATAAATACGAAAATATAGTTGCTATGTAGTATAAGAAATAACACATTTTTTTTTAAATCAATACTCTACAAAGTATCAAAAACAGGACCTCTTTTATTTACTTACACGTTTTAAAGGTGTTTGGATATCAGTCAACAGACTTAATCTTCCCAGGCACGTTTCACATTATTTATGAAAAAATATTTCTTGGGTCAACCAATATTTATTTAGGACGATTCAGAGAAATGGTGTTTCCTCTTTTTGTTTGAACACAATCGCGAAAAATAAACATTATAGATATCCGGAAAATTTGGTATTTTATTAACGAATGGATCGACTTACGCCAAACGCACGAATGCTCATTATTCATTATGATAGTAGATAATACCATAAATTTACCCAAGGATAATTATCCCTGTTTGTTTCTGGAAACTGACGTTTCGTATAATTATTAGTGCACTTATCCTTGATGAAGAGCTTTAAATTTAGTAATGTTCCGGTTTACGTTATTCATTATTATTTAATAGAATATTTCATTAGCTTTTAGGGGCCATTATACCTTACGCTGTTTCTTCGATCTTAATGTAACAGGCGCTTTATAATTTACAACTGTGCTTACTTTTATTAATAGTGAATTGCTGCGTTAATAAACAACGAGAAAATCAGATTTCTGTTATAGTAGTAACAGAATGTAATTAATATTGTAAGGAAAGTCTTTGTTATGATCCTCGAAGTACTTATCTTTGTGAAAGCTACTAGAATTTCCTCTCAACGAGATAACAATTTTTCTTAAAGTTGCTCTTAGTTCAAGAACGCTGAGTGAAAGCTGCAATAACGACACTCCTGATTTTGATTTTTTGCACGAGCTTTTAAACGCACTTAAAAAAATATGTTCAAGTAAATAGTTCGGATTTACCTTACAGTCGAGGATATAGATGAGTCGGCCGGCTGAATTTTTTGCTTCTTTTCCGCTGTCTGGATATTTGCAACCTAAAAAAAACGAAATAACCAATATTACAAGAGCAGTAAATATAAAATAACAGAAACTTTATCATGCATAAACACGTCCTACTTTCGTTTATCGTCATGTAGTTCATCTTCGGCATATCCCAATAAAAAATATGAAGAGTATAAAACGAAGCTGCGATAAAAGTAAGTTTTTTTTATTAAACGAAAATAACATCCAGACAACATTGATAAAATCTGCATTTCATGAATACAAAAAAGACAATCTTCAACAAAGCGGTGTTGACTCCACCCACGTTCCACAGAACAAACAGAACTTTTATGTGTAGCAGAACCGGACTGTTTATTTTTCTCACAACAATAACTTACACAATATTGATTGACAAGAATGTGAATCATTAATCATGATACGGTATGATGAAAGCTCGCACAATCCATTACAAAATTAATTTCGAAAGAATTTCGGTATTTCATTCCTATTAATTATTTTAATGTAAATACAACTCCGGCGACTTTGACATTGCCGTGAAAGTAACAACCAGGTCAACGCATAGATCGTAAATGAATTATTATCTCTCCGAACGATCTTCGACATCGAATAAACGTTAAGTGTGATAGTAATTACTTTCGGCACGGCCGCAAACGAATAATTTATTTGAAGACCATTAGGGCTAATTGGAAGTTTGCTTCTTGCATTGTGGCGAAGAATCGCTGATTGATGAGGAATAAATTAGTGCAATTGTGGCGACGGGTTTAAGATTGCAAATGGCCCGTGTTCAATTAAATGCGTTTACGTAGCGGATTACGACAGAGCGTGTAATATCCTGCAAGCGACGAATTAGGATTCATGGAGTGTTCTGCAGCAACTAATCCGTTGAGAAATTGACATTAACGTTGTCAAGGAAAATAATAAAATAATAAAAACTTCCGACGAATTCGTTATCAGGTTTTGCAACTGATTGAAAGTATTACCGGCGCTCGTTCATGCCGCGCAAACGAAATCACCGAAAAGTCTGATACGTTACGAGTGATTTAGGAGAAATTTCGGTTTTATTTGTGTTTTCGGTCTGATTGTTGAACAGGCCGCGGTTGTAACAAATTGCAACGACAGATGGCCCTCCAACCACACACTGATATTAAAATGCACGACGAGAAAGGCGCTTTTTTCTGACGATGAAAATTTACCGAAAATTGAGAAAAATCGGGCTATTTTTATTTTTGCTTGAATTCATCACCATCAGTCATAATAGCTTGTATACACTGAGATTCAGGTGCTAAATGTGTGAAAAGAAACCGGGTCAGTGTTAATATTAATGTGTATTTAACGCAGATAATTTTGACTTTGTGATTATGTTTAGAATTTAAAATAGTGGCCACGAAGCTTCAGATACACTGCAAGAAATGGTTACTATACTATGAAGCAGTGAATTCCAGTGTGCCTCGAACTGAGCAAGTTTGAGACTGTTGTAAGATATTTTTCTTCGATGTGTGTTTAAAGTTTCCAAGCTTTGGTAAACAGTAACAAGCAGTGGAGGCTTATTAATTATGTTGGATCTACTGATAATGTCAGCTAGTTGGTTAGTAATCTTGTTTCCACAATGAAGCATCAATTGAGAACTTGTTCTCAATAGCTTTAACTTGCGACGTAAGTTAAGCTCGTGGAGGCAGTGTTTATTTCTTGATCTTAGAAACTAGAAACCTTACACACGTTTCTGCAATCATGATTGAAAATACTAAATGAAATTTTTCATTATACAGGATGATGAAAAAATTATTGGATGCTCGATGGTAATAAGAAAAAAAAATGGTTACAAAATTTCTTACACCAAACTTCTGAAAATATTGAACATCAAAATTCGTTTAAATGAACTGCAGTGTCTAATAGACAATTAAATAATTAGTTATTAATAATTTAATTAATAATAATTTGTTAGAATACGATTCGCAACGTCATTTTTTACTGTTGACAGATGCCATTTTTGGCAATTTTCATCGCAGATTTTTAATTAAATTCAGACTAAAACATACCATAATTATGAAGTTTGAAGTTTAATGTTTTTAAAAATTGGGTCAGAGATTTTTTAACCAATTGTTTCGAGTTCTATAGAGCCTTCTTAACAACGTACCATCGAATATATGCGTCATTTTTTATCACCCTGTATAAATTAAGAAATGCTCAACGTTTTACGGGATATTTGGTAAAATAATAGGTATGCTATGTATATTTTGTGCACATTTTAATCATTAATAAACCAGAAGAATTTAGAGTTTTTTCGTCTTCAGGAAATTGGTTCTGCAGTTACGAGATAAGAATATTTCAGGTAGGCGTTTAATCGATCACCTGGAATCTCCTATTTTATGAAAAAAAAAAACATTAACCTCATTAAAAACACAAAGCAGAAATCAGATTTGTGAATGTAATTCAATCTGAACACCACAAAACATCGTTATGGACCAATCGTAATTAGTTTGTATTTTTATTCCGTTACATTTTTGTGTTTCATTGCTCCCAGACAAGATTTTAGTAATTTTAGTAATCTAAAATCAGGTTGTGTACACTTACTGGGTATTCCTGCCTAAGCTACATTGTTCTATTTGTCTATTTTCACTTATATATATTTTTTTAATTTTTGATTAGTAATTAATTCATTATTAATAATTACACGGTTAAGAGATATTTTTCGATTCGACAGTATACAAACTCACTGGAAAAAGCAACTCTTTGGCAAAAATTTGTCCCAATGTCCCCAAATGAATTAAAACGATGTTAGCGTGTAGATTGTGCCGCGTTTTCTCGTTCGAACACTTTTTCATAATTTAACTATGAACTAAGTAGTAGTGCAATAATTTGTTTCCACGAACAACGATCTCATCTCCTATTTTTCCCAGAAGTCGCTCCAACCTGTCAGTTATCTTCTATCTGAATAGACCTTTTGCACGATTAAGATAACCGCCGTTTCAGTGGTACAAATAGCATAAAAATAAAGTTTTTGAGGAATCCCAGATAGCAAAGTACATTGGTAACACTGATTTATTTCATTTATCCGCCAAAGCCGACGCACTTCATTGACTGTGTAGAAAACAATAATGATGAAAATGAAGAAAGAGTGTTCGGACGAGAAGACGAGGCACAATTAAGCAGGTTAAACGATTTTATAATTGTGTTAGTTTTTTCGTCCGAACACTTGGTTCCCAACCTTTCAATACGAATTATAAGCCTTTCGAATCTTGGTGTAGATTAATATTAAACTTAATGACAATTGACAGGTTCGGGCGGCATTTGGTGACAAATAGAAGATAAATTTGTAGACTTTCACGGCCAGAGTCATTGATATAAAGGCCGTTTTCCGGGTTTGGACTGTGTGGAATTTAAGAAAGATTTCGACGTTTCGCCCACTTTTGTAAGGGAAATCTTCATGAAGTGAAGGGCGAAAGAACGAAAAGTTTGGTGAAAAGAGAGAAACATCTTCTTAAAGAAGAGGTTTAACTTAACATCGAAACCTTTCTTAGTTTCCACATAGTCCAAACCCGAAAAACGTCTTTAGATCAATAGGAGATGAAATCGTTTTGCAGAGGATGTGATCACTTTAAAAAATGTGCGTAGAAACGAGTTCGTAACGTTACTACCTCGATGCAGAAAAAGTGTTCGGGCGAGAACACGTGGCACATTTAAACGGGTCAAATGATTTTATGGTTGTACTAGTTTTCTCGTCCGAACACTCGTTTCCCAACCCCTCAACACGAATGATAAGCCTTTCGAACCTTGTTACACATTTACTTTAAACTTAATGACAATTGACAGGTTGGGGCGACCTCTGGTGACAAACAGGACATTAATTCGGAGATTTTCACGCCCAGAGTCTTTGATATAAAGACGATTTTCCGGTTTGGACCATGTGGAATTTAAAAAAACCTTTCGACGTTTCGCCCACTTTTGTAGGGGAATATCTCCAGGAAGTGAATGGCGAAAGAATGAAAAATTCAGTGAAGAGAAAGAAACATCTTCTGAAAGAAAACGTTTAACTTAACGTCAAAACCTTTCTTAATTTCCACATGGTCCTAACCCGAAAAACGTCGTTATATCAATAGGAGATGAGATTGTTGTGCAGAGGATGTGATCACTTTAAAACTGTGCGTGGAAACGAATTCGTAGCGTTACTACCTAGATGGAGAAAGAATGTTCGGACGAGAAGACTAGGACAATCCAAGTTGAACGTCATAAAATCCTTTGACTTGTTTAATAAAATATTTTTCCAAAAAAATGTTCGGTTTAAACCAAGCTTACAACGAAGATTTTTTTTGTTGATCATCAGTAACTCAGAAAAAATTATGGTTACAAGAAATATTTCAACTATTTCTAACGACACTCTGTATCTGGAAATAGAAATAAGGATCGAGGATGAAAAATTAAGGATTTAACACAACATTAAACCAGTTTTAGGTGAATACATTGAATTGCAGTTAAAATACCTCCCAAAGAAAAAATATAGTTTGTGGAATGTTAACCTGTTTCTAAAATATTGTGGATTTTTTTCATGTTTATTCTCGTAATTGAGTTCACTTAATGAATGTAATGAGTGTAATTCAATCTGAACACCACAAAGCACCGTTGTGGACCAATCGTAATTAGTTTATAATTTTTATTCGGTTACATTTTACTGTTTAATTCACCCAGACAAAATTTACCCTGAATAATTTTTTTTCGGTTTGATATCTGTAGATATGTTTAGTTTCACTATTTTTTTTTTCTAATTTGTAATTACTTAGTTGTTAATAAGTCGACAACATATGAACTCACTCGAAACAGCAGAAAATATTGCCTTTAGTTTGAATTAAATGGTGAAATTAGTTATCCACAAAATGTGTCTCATGTGCCCAGACGCATTCCATATCTTCAAATAAATTAAAATGAGATTAGAGTGTACATTGGGCTATGTCTTCACGTCCAACACTTTTTGTTAATCTAATTTGGTAGTAGTACAACGATTCGTTTCTCGAACAATTTTAAAATGATCACGTTCTGT